AACCGGAGTATCATAACAAATTAGCACCAGCATCCAGTCAATCAGCTTGCACCAAATTTATAACTGATAGCCGGCTGACACAAGCGATGTTGCGTGACTTTATTGGAATGTTTGTCACCGCATTTAAATTCGTTGCTTGGAATGTTGCACCGTGTGTCAACACCTTTATATAGTTTGTTACATTAGCAAGAAACTTACTATAAACATTTTAAGTATCTGACGCCGAGATTCCAAGGGTAGTTGTGTTGAGGGTAGCTAAGATCGACTTAGTACGGGCGGGTTAGTGAGCTTTGGTATTTGCCGAATGAAATGCGAAACTTTAACGACATGAATCCGAAACTCTTCCCGAAAACGGAGGATCAGTGAACCATGCTTCACTCTTTTGTTTTCACTGATGCAACCGGACAATAGGCATTTCATTGATACGTTTTTGAATGAAATTCAGAATCAATGTATTTCAGAATGTACTTCAGAATCAGAAGAGTGTTGTAAATTGAAAGAATAGAATCAAAAGAATATAGAATTCTTGAAAAGGTGGTACCAAATAAAAACCATTGGTGGTTATCTAATCAAAGCGAAGTTCTTTGTTTAGTCAACTGTACCCCACATTTCCCCTTTTTCACTATGACGTAACATCAAAACAATCTATTGTTTAAACGCAAAGGATCATGGTCGTTGGACAGGATCAAATCAACACAAATTCACCGAAAATTGTTCAAAAAACCCGTATCAATCCACGAAGAGAAATAAAATAGCCAGCAAACGCTCAGAATATTTTTTTAGTACATATTAACACATATTATGTCTGAAAATCAGGCCATTTTAGATTAAACTGTTTCGCTAGGAGCAAATTTTGTTGAATTTTCTATTGGATTTGGCGATTGTATCCCCCACATAAACAAGTAGTGACGTCATAGTGAAACAGGGCAAGCCTAACACTAAACTTCCACTGAGTTATGTAGGCCCAGTTTAATTAAACGTCCAATGTCACATGTGTCGAGTCTACGTGCAAATGAATTCAAACATACCAGGCTTTGCTCATTTGCATTAGATTCGGCACATAATTTGCTGGAACTAATTCCAAGAAACTTCCTTTTCTGATTTTGAATTTTCAGTCTTCGTCGTTCAAGTGGTTTTCAAGAGTCATAATAATATAAAGATGTAACATGTAGATTGGGGAATTAATTCAGCAAGCAATAGTAGAAGTCGTAAATGAAAAAGACATAGGGCAAGATGGTTGGAGATCCAGTGGGAAAGGAATACACATTTAAGTATATTCTCTTCAGGGGCGGCGGAGCCCCTCMATGGATTTTTTGGGGGGGCCTGGCCCCCATACAAAATGTTGGTTCACATGAAATATAAATGCATAGATCCGATTTTTAATACTGTTATTAAGTTATTGTTGTGATTTTTCCAGAGGCCCCCCCCAAAGATTTTTGCAGTGCCCCCCCAAAGATTTTCAGCTTCCGCCGCCCCTGCTCTTGTTACTGTGCAACTACACCAACCAAGACCACCCAGACAAATTTTCATACAAATTAGCCAATCACGATGGAGTATTTAAACAATAAAATCAAAAAAGTGACCATGGTCCCAAAAACTCACGTATGGTCCCTCATGTATTTATTCATACGATCCCGATTCCTCTTCTGTGAACCCTGATTAGTAGTGTGTAATTCCGGCTTGATCCCTGATCCCTCGTCACGAAGCTGACAATCGGTAGCTTTCGTCAAGACGAGAGGCACTGGGCCTGAGTTCCAAAATTCCAAGAAAAGTCCAAGTTTTCCGGTTTCGCTTTATTTACTAGCGACGCTAGACATATAATGTGCTAGAAGGCTTTCAGTCGTAAACTTTAAACGTTTGTATACTTGGATGGCTTCCCCACGCACACCCAACGTTCTTGTCTTACAAGGAAAGAACTACGTTGTAGAAAAATTACTAGGGGAAGGCGCTTTTGGCAAAGTGTACAAAGTGACAGAGAATGGCAGATCAGGCAGTGTTTACGCGCTGAAAAAAATCGAAGTTCAGAATAATGAGGCAGTAAACATGGTGAGAAAGGAGATTGGTATATTGGCCAAGTGCAGACACGATCATATTGTACGACTCTGCGGTCTCGATACAACTAAGATTTCCAGATCAACTTTTGTTCTGATTTTGATGGAGTACTGTGAAGGCGGAAATCTCAACAGTCGTCTAGCAAGACCAAGTGATAGCGRTACTAACCTACGATGGATGAAAGAGTTGGCCGATGCTATGTGTTATCTACACTCCAATAACATCGTTCATCGAGATCTGAAGCCAGAAAACGTATTATTGGCCGGTAATGGGTGCATCAAGTTGGKGGACTTTGGTCTCGCCAGAGAGTTCGCAGTCCTAAGACAATCTCATGCCATGCTATCAGACGAGTCGCTCGTGTCTTATTTGAACCAAGTTTATATGGGAACAGCTCTAGGAACACCTGCTTGGATGGCACCAGAGGTCTTTAGAGGACACTATACGGAAAGTGCAGACATTTTTGCTCTTGGTACAATAGTGTTTGCTATCCTAACACGGGCATGTATGTCAGCCGGGGGAAAGAAATATTATGGAGCATTTGTCAGTGCGAGTGGTCAAAGGATTGGCCTCGGGATGGCGATGACACGGAATACGAATATCATGGTGCCCCTCGATGGATTGTCGAGTTTAACTAGACAGGTACTTCGTAGTATGCTAGATTACAACCCCAAGAACAGACCTAGTGCACAAAAAGTACTTGAAAAAATTGATTCTAGTCTTTACCTTGATGACTTCTCGTCACCCATCGAACAGCCGGGATATCCTACTCACGATATTCAACCCTACCGCCAGAGCCCCTTTCCACAACCACGCTGCTCCCCGATGCCTGATCCTCTTCCGCAACCTCCCTCCCCGATCAACAACTTTATTTCACATTCCCTTTCTTCCTCCAGACAAATCGCTACTGACAATATACTACCCCACCGCCAAAACCCCTTTGCACAACCCCACTCCCCCACCCCCAATTTTATTCCACCCCACAGACAAAGTCCCCTACAGAACAATACACCCCACTATCGTCAGGCAGGCCCTTCACCGAGATTTGGACCCCCCTCTCCAAATCATTCCAATCCCCGACCAATGCATAGAATTTCCCCTTATCAACGCACTCCCCTCTCACAGAAGTCCTTTCCTTACCTCCCCCACCCCCGGTGCACCCATCAGGAACGTACCATCACACACCCCACGTCCTGCAATCATCAGATCCCCGGTACATACAGTCAATTCAATAAACGTTGTCGTCGACCGGCTCAAGCCTACGCGACTGGACCGAAAGAAATATGGGTAAAATTCACTGAAGCGGTTAAATATTCGTTTTGAATTAATTGTTCCCGCTAGTAGTAAAGATAATAATGGCGAGAAACAATCCA